AGGACAATATTCAAAGTCAAAGTTACCATATAGTATCACTGACAGGTCAGGCCTATTTGTCAAAAACTGGAACTGATTATCAGTCAGTCCCTGCCACAGCCTTCCCCAAGCCCAGAGCCCCTCCACAGCATAACGGCTGTGCTCACTGTGAGCCAGGCACTATGCTGGAAATGTTAGGCAGCAGAGTGCATAATAACTGGACTCCAAAGATAAGGGTACTTGGTACCTACATGTTTCTGAATCTGTTTCTGATAACACACTGTTCAAGATCTTTGTGAAGACCCCAACACCTTGTATAGATGGATTTTTAAAAAAATTGGCCCCATACTAAATTTATTTTCAACTCCATTTACCACAAGCATTTTAAAATACCCTCACAGACTGACTGATGAAACCCTTGCAACAACCTTCCAAGGTGCATGGGATCATTTCCTAGGCTGTCTTACTAAGGAGGAGAGTGAAGAACAGTACCACTTCCGTCAGGTGTACATGAAAGGTTTGAATCCAGTCTAGCGCTAGAGCTATGTATACAACACCACCGCACATGACAGTCTCCCTGCAAACAGCGTATCAGCCCTGCAAGTGTAAGAGCTAGTCTTGGCTTCTTTCATTTTTTAAGCTCTGGAGGCAATGACACACTTTAAAAAAAAAAAAAAAACTTGATACAATGCGAGACACAATTACTACTAGATTTTAACACGCTTCTAAATAATGCGTTTAGATGGAAGCCTCGGTGTGCTGTCTTTATTGAAAGGGACGTCTGCTCTGGACCACCATCAGCAAGATCAGCTACGTGCTGATGATACACTAAGAACGTCAGTGCCATCAACTGATTAGTGAGGGATTAATGCTGCTTTGAAAAATTTATTTTTAAGCATGTTAACATTTAAATGTTAAACATTTTCAGAGACTATTCTAACTCAAATAGCCTCATATATCTACAGACAAGGGAATTGTGGTAAAAATAAATAATTAATTAATTTTTTTAAAACCTTTGCCAACACTCCCTTGGACAACACGGCATCCAATGGTGTATTTGTCAGTACTCACAGAAGTACTGGCTCAAAGAATACCCTCAGCAACGGTAATTAATGCTGACATAAATCCAGATGCTGGGATGGCACTGAAGAGGACTGCTGGCTTCACATGACAATTAAAAGTGCTGCTCCAAGCATCCAGGAAAATTTTTTCCATAGAGATGTTCCAAAACCCTGGCTATGATGAGTTATGAGACAAAGCAACTTTGCCTTCTATCTCTGAAATCACACACACACACACACACACATCACCCCCCACATATCTACAGCAAAGGCACTCAGACAACATGACTTTATTTAGTCAAGATGGAAAGAACTGCTATGAATGGTAAAAAAAACTTTTATCAAAGGTCATTAAACTTGGCATTTTTATCTAATGCAAAATGGTTGCTTAAAACAACCTGGCCAGTGTGCTTGGGATTATAAATACCCAATCTTGTAAAAAAAAAAAAAATGGCAAACATTAAATAAAACAAGAAAAGGCATTTAATTTAGCTTATGGTGTGTATAAATACGCACTTTCAGGACCATTATTTTACATTAAAAATGTAAAATAACCCTGCCACAGGTTATAATTAGAACACAGTGAATTTTCTTACTGTGGCTTTCAGCATGGCACTATTAAGGCCTGTTGTTTAGGTACACAACTAAAGAGCAGGCTGGGAACTGTCCTAATTTCTTTGCAAGTTATCAGCTGAAACTAAAGTTTCCTTAGAGGGAACTCCACCATGGGCCTGGCCAGTTTCCTTGTTGTTCACACAGACACAAGCAGGATTTACAGTGCCCACAGCTGAACCTCCCAACAGTCCTCATGGGCTTCATTTGCTCAAATAATACGCAGCTCCTCCTCCCAGTAAATGGCAATTTAAAACAAATTCAGTCATGCATGCTGATGGGCAGCACTCCAGAAACAAGCGAGCCTCCCCTGGGGAGCAGCTGCAGCTTCTGTCAACCTAATCCTGTCATGCAGTGCCCTGGACTTGCATGTGATCAGCACACAGAGCACCTGTCCTTTCACCTTCCGCGTTTCAGAGCTGGCTGGATTATGCATGCACTGCAATACTACCAACTATTTTGACTCAGGGGCTCCTATGGACTTATAAGAAGCCAGCACTCAAAACACTTACTGGAGAACTATGGTCTAGTCCCATATACTGTGCCCGGGTGTGTGACTGGGAAAACCTTTGTAATTCCCTCCTAGCCTCCAAAGACACATCTTTAAAATGGGAATGGAATGAGAAAGACAATACTTAAAGCAAGGCTAGCATGCTTCAATAAACAAGACAAGACCTACCGCTGAGCATTCCCTCCAGTCTCAGACCTGGTAGGAACAACTGCTGGCCACTGCAGTTCATGCTCAGACAACTCAAATAAGGAGCAAGAGTAGCTCAAGGAAGTGAAGACGCAGAGCTCCCAGAACGTAGCAGTAAAAACAATGATTTAGACCAAACCAAACAGCTGAACAACTCAACTTTCATTTCAGCTCCTTATTGTAATACACTTGGCATCTTGACTCAACAAGCAAACCCAACCAGGTCAACCATGCAAAATATTTGTCCATCAATACAACCTCTTCACATCTATGATGAAATATTTGCACACAAGCGCTGCAGTTTTGCTCTACACTTACCACCACTGGTTTTACTATGGATGAATCCAGTCACCAATGAACATTTGTTAATAAAGGTACAAATGTTGTAATGTTGGAAGCACATCCAAAGAAAGGTTTTTGACACACACACACCCCAAAAAACCCTATATATGGATAGGCCCTTATACCTACCTTCATTCTACTTATCACTCCAAAGGTTTTAAACTTCCACATGAATATACTATTATATATCATTTGTAAAGTGTCAGATTCTCACAGTACCAAAACCCACATTTATAAAACATATATAATCTCGTTCTTAAAAGACTAAATGTATGTGAAACAAATTTAATCCAAGAAGGCTCACAGGCTTATGAATCAAAAGTAAACTGATGGCACTTTCAAAAGAAAACAAAGAATATTTTCAAGTCGGGAAGCTTAGCAAGGGCTTCTCAAGACACAAAATGTAATAATCATAGGGAAAAAAATCAATTAGATTCAATCATATGAGACAATTTTTATCATCAAATGCTACAACCTAGGAGGAAATAGTTTAAAAATTTAAAACCTAAGAAAAGGAGAATTGGGATCTAGGATATGTAATAACAATGTTTACTGCGACTGGTTTATAATGGCCTGCTTGAAGAGGGTTAAGTCAGTGGAGGAAGAAGAGATGCTGGCAATTTCTTGCCAGTGAAAAATTAAGGGCTAGCGGCTAAAGGAGAAGAGATGTGTACAAGACTACTTGAAGCAGAAGGCAGGAAGCAAAGGTCAGACAGGTGTCAGGGATGTGTGAGTTTTTTAAAAACATACTGCACTCAGTGCCACTGTTTCCACCTAAGAAGGAGTTAAAATGGCATTTTTGACATCCTAATAAATTGCTTTCAGAAAGCTTTTTCTCGGATTTAATGCTGGAAGCAATGATCCTTATTTAACTTTACTCAGTTCTCCAGATCAAAGAGCATGTTTGGATGGATGGAAAATACATTTTACTAAAAAAAATGATTCATATCATACTTCAGATATTCTCAAAATCTAAAAATGAACGTTTTCTAAAAATTAGCCTTAAGTCTTCTGTAAGAATAAAGCAAAACTCTAACGATATAAACAAAATAATACAAAATGTCATAATTAAAGTTTTCCAGACATAAGTCCTGAGCTGTGACTTTCACATAAAACACACTTATGGCTGTGTCTCTGCTCTTTCGTTGGATTCCTAAAGCACACCACCCTGCCCCACAGGTGCTGACAGACGAGTGCGCAGTAAACAGTTACTGTAGTGTTCAGGATATCAAATGGTATGCTTTTGCAATAAACATTTTACATGTATTGAAGCTTTTATTTTTTAATGCAAAGCTAAATACATGAAGAATGATGGATCAAGTAAAGCACAGGTGTACTGGTCTCGTCTGATGGAGCCCCTCTGCATCTCTGACCACAGTGTCAAAGGACCGCTTCACTCTGTCCTTGCAATGAACACCATCGGATGTGATTCTACACATCCTGGTGCGAGAAGGGTCTAAACACTAGGATTCTCACAGAATGGTTAGAATCTTATACTGAACTGCCAATTTTTTCTTCCCAAACATAAACTAAAACACGATTCAAGTACCATCAACACAAAAGTGAAGAGTTTTAACTAAAATAACTAAGGTACCAAATAAACGAAAACCAATACTGAGAATTAGTATTAGTGAAAAATCCAAAGTATGTTGTTTTGGGCTAAAATAACACTGCATCTTACTTTCATAAGTGAAAGGAGAGACATCATAAATACTCGGTTAAAAAAAACATGAAGAATAATTTAATATACTGACTCAATCACTGATGGCAAACAAGATCTGGGATCAAATCCCAGCTCAGCCACTAAAGAGCGATGTGACCACTCAGATGAACCTTATTAGTAACTTACATGAGAATATCTATAAACATTTCATAGGAGAGTAAGGAGGATTAAATGACACAGAATACAAAAGTCTTCAGCAAAATTTTGGGTAGAAATTGTACAAGGGTAACTTTTGTTGCTGTTAATAAAAATTTTTCTCAACAAAAACTTGAAATTACCAAAAGGCCTTTGGCTTTAAAAAAAAAAAAAACAAAAACCACAACAAGCAAAGACTTCCAGTTTGCAAACTTTGTCTTGTGGTCAGAATAGCACTGTGGTAAACAATAAAATTCCATTTTCAAGCAGCAATAAGGCAGCCTTCTCTTTTCCAAGTCCAAGTAAGTTGAGTATAGGAATATTAAAAACAATCACTTGTAATCAACCGTTATCAGCAATTCTTTACTTACGCAATGGCACACATACACTCCAGCCAAAGAAGCTTATTATCTTCTAAGTGAACTGGAAAGTCACACTCAGGTCCTCTTACCTGGGAGCCAACTTGCTGCAGGAACACGAGAATGACTTCCCAGCACAGGCTGCCACCATCCGCACGAGTACCTGTAATTAAAACAGATTTATCAGAAGGTGTGGCATTCTATCAACCTTTCACCTGCACATCTCCTTGGGAAAGATCTGGCACAACCTTACTCTGCGAAGACGCTGCAGGTCTCCATCTAGCAAGAAGGGAATCTATGGGAGAAAAGAATCCAGGAAAGCGGGTTAGAGACACAGCAGGGCCCGCCTCACCTGGCACATCACTGAAGCTCCACGTGAAGACAAAGGGAATACCACAGCGACAGAGGCAGTTTCAGAGCTACAATGAAAGGGCCCCTGGGAGGCATTTTCTACCTGATCTTCCTTCATCTGGAAAGTTGCAGTTTAACAACACATACCACTTTGTTGTTCATGGCTAAGGTTCTTCTTGCATTTTATAGTATACTTGTTGGATGAGGGCACCGATTCACTTTATGAAGCCAGTAATTCTCTACTAGTGTCTGTGCCACAATCCAGGGTCCACCTCCTGTCCCTCATCCAAGGGCTGTTCCAAAAGAACAGCATCCAGGAAAGACTTTCTGATATGTTTCACTTGGAAACCATTCCATGTTGTGAATTCTAGTGGCACATTGCTGGCAACTGCCTTATGACTGTTTCCCCTCTATCTTACAATAATGTTACATCTCTATACAGGCAGGGTCAACAAAAGCAGCCTTATATTGATGTCTGCTGTCTGTTAACATTGCAGTTAGAGCCTAAATGTGTTTAATCTCATCAAATGCCGTCATGAGCTTTACTGATATATTCATGTTTAACCAGGATATTTGCTTGAAAACATTTACTTAAAACAAGAAAGTATACATCTATGACAATTCTCCCTAGTTTGTCTTTGATCTGAGAGTCAACAATTCCAATCCATTTTATGTAGGGCCAGTACCCAGAGTGTCAAAACCATTTACAGAGTGCTGTTTATTTTAAATTACAAAGTCCTTAAACCTTCTAATTACATGACCTGCTTTAAATTTTTTCAGCTTCCATATCCTCATGCAAAAACTGACAATAACATTGCCTACCTGATGGTACTATGGAGGATTAAGTAAGAAAACATGTACAACAAGGCCCAACATCAAGGTTGGGAACACAGTTACTTTCTCAGTTCCCATATTATTTCAAGATGGCAGACTCTAGTTCTACTGTCAAGTCTTCTTCTTTAAAGATCTGTAAGATCTCTGGTTTCATTTTCTAATAGAAGAAAACGAGACTACTGAAATCACAAAGCTAACTTTGCTTACCATATTTTACCTTGCTCAACACATGAAATACACATCAATCAAAAGGTGAGAAAAACTGTACCTTGATTCTAATCCTCAACTCTGAATGAGGCCTTGCTCATAGAGAACCCTCCACACCAGAGAATACGAGATCACAATTTTACAAGAACATAGCTCTTTTTCTTTCCTCTGCCTTATTCAGCCAAATGTTCCTAGATTGTCAGTTCACTAAATCAGTTTTCTAATTTTTCCGTAAAAACTCTCAATGAAGCCATGTGAGTGAATGATATCGTCCATCAGCTACAACTGTTTCACATGAACGTGCCATCTCATCCCCACATAAAATACATGCCCATTTTAAAGACCCTAACATAAACATTTTATTTTACACTTGGCTCGGTCTTCTGGTCCCAAGGAACCTGGTCCTTAGATGAAGGTGTTTGCCCATGTCTGAATGTACACACAGATGTACCTTCCCCTACTAGGTTTAGGTGCCAATGTTCACATTATCTTGTTCATTATACTTCAATAAGATCATGGAAGGGAGGGCCTCTACCACGGGAGTTAAGACACTGCTTGTGCTGTGTACATGCCAGACCGAATCCCCTGAGCTCCAGGCCTGTCTCCACTGCTGACTTCTGTCCACTTCTTGCTAACACACACCCTGGGAGGCATTAGGTGACCACTCCAAAGACTTGGCTTCCTGCCACCCACCTGGATTGAGACTCCAGCTGCAGGGGGTTTTGCAAAGTGAACCAGATCTTTATCTATCTCTGTCTTCCTCTCAAATAAATAAAAATGTAATAACTTTCTCAAACATTTGTGGAGAATGGAACATTTTGATACAACTAAAGAGAAATCTATGCATAGGTTTTCCATAATACATGTTTTCCAATAACATCTGAAGACCATTCATGTGCATATCTGCATGTGTACACACACACACACAATCAATCTTCGGAAAGCACATTTAAAAAAAAAACGTATCATGAGGGCAGGTGCTGTGACCATAGCAAGTTAAACGTCCCCTTGCAGCATCCCACTTGGGTCGCAGGTCAAGTTTCAAGTGCTCCACTTCCAAGAGTCTGTGAAAGCAGTGGAGAATGGTCCAAGTACTTCGCAGCCTGCACCCGCATGGGAGACCTGGAAAAAGCTGCTGGCTTCTGCTCAGTTCAGTTCCAGCCAGTGTGGCCAGATGGGGTGTGAACCAACGGACAGCAGATCCATCTCTCCCTAGTCTGTAACTCTGCCTTTCAAAAAAAATAAGAATAATCAACCTTTACTCTACAAGTTTACCATAAAGCAAGCAATACATGGACTTCAAAATTAACTGAATTATTAATTCCATTTTTCCCATGCACTTTTCAAAGTACCTTCATAGCATCACCTGCAACTTAGGCATTCTGAATTCCCTCATATAATGTAAAAAAAGAAAAAACCAAAACAAAAACAAAAAACTTCAGGTCCATAGCATAAAGAGTAAAGTCTAAATCAACTGTATCTTCTCATACAAGGAAGCAAGTCTGGGCCTGACTCACAAGTACCTGACATCATGGAACAAAAGAGGAAAAAGGCCAATGTCGCTTCTCATGATTACACTGACTGCAAAAAGAAATAAAGAAGTAAAATTCAGTGTCCCAGGATGAGACAGAGAATCAATAAGCTGGGAACTGTGGGTGGGACGGTCTCATCTCAACCACTGAAAAGTGTGAGACAGTCACGTCCCATTGTAACAGCCACAGATCAGGAGAGTCTGGGAATTTTCTACTTCTTTCTTCTGAAGCTTCTCTGATTTCAAAACATTCTCCTATAACCCCAAGAAAGAGTACTGAATGGCATACTTTTCTTCTTCTAGAATGAATGCTAATTTGACTGAGAATTTTATACTGGTCCCATTGAAGTACATGAAGCTGTTCTTTGTGTCCACAGCGAGCCCAGAAGGACTGACATTCAACACTATTTGTAATGACTCCGGGAACCTACGAGGTGGCAAAGGGTATTACTTTCAGGAACATGAATTGTCTGACTTTGTCCCTAGGTATGAGCAGAAACTAGACTCTGGGCTCCGAATACCTGAGCCTTAAAACCCGGAACATTCCAACACCACTGCCATTTCACCTTCACAGTGCCTTGTTCTGCTTTATTTTAACAACAGCAACATCATCTAGACAGAAATCGGTAACCGGTAACTAAAGAACACGTCCGAGACTCCCTGCCTTTCACACGATATTTATTTCCAAGAGGTACATGCATGCAGAGCTAGGCTCTTCTTCCTCCTATGCAGACAGGTATCCGGGGCTGTAATACACACCGGGGCTGGGGGAGGGAGTTCCTGTGTTCCCTCATTTCAGCAAAGGATGACAGTGGGTCCCCAATAGGAGTCGATGGCACCTCTGTTATGGAAATCTTCCCTACTGGCTTCTTTTCTTTACAAGAAAAGGGTGGTTGCACTGCAGCTACTGATACCTACACCTTCAATATTCCTTTTTAGTTCAGCAAAGGCCTGAAATGCACATTGATCCTGTTTAATCAGCTTAGCACAACAAGCTCACTACCATTAAGAAAAAAAAGGTCAGTCATGACAGAAAGTCACATCCACGCATATTTGCTCATTTTCCAAAGGACTTTTTGCAAAGGTCTTCCCTAGTACTTTAACTACCAGCAGCATCCTCGGCTTCAAACCAACCAGAAATGGTTTCCATTGAAAACCAATGCTTACATCACATTCATTTAGGACAAAAAAAAAAAGTGAAAGCTTTAGAAAGGACTAAATTCAACAAGTTTTCAACATGTCTTACTGATTAGTCTAACTTTCTCACAGCAAACATGGCCAACAGGATCCAGGAACATCATATGAAGTCATCTCTCCAGTGTACTGAAGAGTTTCCTATGCATTAGACATTGACTGCAAAACTATGAAATGGAATTGAGAAAGGCTCAGTTTTCAAACAGAGTGTAACACTGTGAAATATTTTACACTACAGTGTGAAAGTCAGATCTCAGGACTCTGAATTCAACTGCTATGAGCACAAAATCTATCTTCTGACAATGGCATAACGCAATGAGGTCTAGCAATTTCAAAGAAAGATGGCAACAGGAGCAGCAACAGACACAGGTAGTGCTGGGGAGACCAAATCTTCAAAGAAGCATTTTTTCCTTCTGTTTTTCTATTGCCATATTGGGATTTTTTTTTTTAATCTTAGTATTTTAGGCTACCAATGTAGTAGCCTAGTGGCTAAAGTCCTCACCTTACATATGCTGGAATCCTATATGGGTGCCAGTTCATATCCCAGCTGTTCCATTTCCATCTAGCTCCCTGCTTGTGGCCTGGGAAAGCAGAAGAAGGACAGCCCATAGCCTTGTGACCCCGCATGCACATGGAAGACCCGAAAGAAGCTCCTGGCTCCTGACTGGCTCCACTCCAACTACTACGGCCAACTGGGGAGTGAATCAGCAGACAGAAGAAGTCTCTCTAGAAATCTGACTTTCCAACAAAAAATAAATCTAAAAAAAAGTATACAAAAATTAATTCATTTCAGCTCTCTCTATTCAATGTCAACATTTCTTTTCTATAAATAAGTATCAGAATTAGAAAAATAAACTCCAAATTGCCAGAAGAGAGAAGAACAATCTCATCACCCGACCTCACTTTTGGCCAAGCTTCCTGCACTTCCTTCTACACTCTGCGGTTTGACTCAGGTAAGTGTAATCTTGACTAGGAAGCAGATATGTTAATTCAGGACAATGACCCTTGCTGAAGCAAAAGAACAGTGGTAGTACGTGATCTGAATG